ACATTTCATAATTAGCTGACTAACATAACCACCAGGGTGTCTCATTCCAACAAAAACTGTGTCCAAAGTACAGTGTATAATCAGATACTACAGTTCTGGCTGCTTATGTACTTCCTATATTTCTGACACAAAATAAATGACTTCAGTGATAGTGAAATAAGAATACAATTACTAGATGTATTAACAAATATTGTATTTCTTGCTAGCAATAGTTTAAAATACTGCATTTGCGAACATTTCTGCTCTTCACAAGTTAGGTTTCATCCAAACCTGGGCTCATCAGGGCTCAGAACGATGTACTCACCTCATCCAGCAAATGACACGAGACAAATCTCAGCATCTGTGGGGCTTGCGGTAGGGTCTAGTATTCAGGGCTTTCTCTCCTCTTACACCTGCTGTAACCTTTGTGTTTCATTTAGTTAATGAATGGACATATTTTCCAATTGCTCGTATTATTTTCCAATTGCTTCCTAGCTGATCTATCAGCTTGTGTCTCAGTTGGAAAAGGAGCTCCAGGGAGCAGATGCGTGGTTGTTGGGAGTGTTCCTGTGTGCACCAACAGTCATCTGTCTTGTGATTAGTAAGTTCTTTCAGGCCTGCTGATCTATATTCAGTAGGCTGAATCAGTACTTGTTGATCTGACTCCAGTTAATTTCCCTCTTTTTTACAACTCATCCATCCATCCATCCATCCATCCGTGAATAAATACTGATTGAATTCTGACGGCTTTCTCACAGAGCAAAAAATATCTATCTAATTCAGTTTCAAGAGGCTGATTGAATAAATACAACTTTAAAATCTGTAATTTTTGGATAGACATTAAAAATTAATAGTCTGTATCAGTCAATGTAAGGTGATAAAAGATAAAATAAGTATTTTCACATACATATTGCATGATTTTTATAAAATTTAACAGTATTTATCCAAAGGCTTGCAACTTTTCCCAAAAGGCAACTTGCAATATGGTTAGGAGTCTATGCCTGACTTCAAATCTCAACTTCTTTTCATACTCATTGTGTGAGTTTAAGAAGTTAATCTCAGTGCCTGTTTTCTCATCTGTAAAATAAAGATGATACTATTTACACTTTATAAAGATAAAATAAGCCAATATTATTAAAGTTAGGAACAGTATATTCCAAGGCCACCGAGATAGCTCAGCTGGGAGAGCATCAGACTGAAGATCTAAAGAACAGTATATTCCACATAGCATGTACTATCTAGGCTTGCAAAATAGCTTTTTTTTTTTTTTTTTTTGTACCAGGGATCAAACTCGGGTCCTTGCGCTTGCGCAGCAGGCGGCAAAACCACTGAGCTAAATCCCCAGCCCCTCAAAATAGCTTTTGATGCAATATTTCAGCTCATAGAAATTTAAGAAAATAATTAGATAAGAAAGGAAGAATTTGAGAGCAAACAGGAAAAATTAAATACACTTAAGATAGAAAACAAGATAAAAATGGTTAAGTTCATTCTGGTATATCTATGTTACGGAGTATTACACAACAATTAAAGTTAGATTTTTTTAGAGAATATCCAAATGAAAAAATTCTCAGCTATAGTATTTTAAAGGCAGTTATCTGTATGTCTACATGCATGATAATCTCAGTATTGTTAGAAGACATACAAAAGAAATGTCCAAACACAAATAGTGATTATTTCTGAGTACTGGGAATGATTATTTTATTCTTTACATAGTTTCAAAATTTGTCATAGACATGCACTTTATTGTTACATTTAGAAAAAATAAGAAAATATATAAATTGAGCAAGAAAGTACAGAGAAAGGAAAAGTGCTGATCAATGAGTTATATTCCTTAATTCTTTTTCAGAGCTGCTGGGTAAATATATGAAATGGAAAGCTCACATACCTTCAAAGCGGCAACTTTTAGTTCAAGAAAATGTTCTAGGATCTATTTAGTTATTGTCCTTTAATAAGCAACACTAAGTTCTCTGAGTGTGCGTGTGTCGTGCTTGTGCATATGTGTATACTTTTTGTCTTTAAAAGAAGCTTAAATGAATCTTACTGTAGGAGGTAATGAGGCAAAAGCTGATGAGTTTTGGATAAACTCTGCACACACACAAGTCAGTCCACCAGAAGGAACCAAAGCCAAGCTTCAGGTACAGAACAGAAGTGCAGAATCCACTCCAGGCTGATGATCCTCGGAGTGGGGGAAGTAACCTGCCAAGGCTAAACATTTCTACAAATCTGACAACTGGTGCTACGGAAGCCCATCTGTTTCATGGTGTCTCAGATGGGTGTGAGTCTCCTTGCAGGCATCTGCGGGCCACTTTCTTCACCCAAGAAACTCTTTCCTGGATGTATGAAGTATGAGCTCAAATCCCCAAGTTTCTTAGTGACAGTGTACCTTCAAGCATTTTGAAATTTTTTTTCCATTCATTTCTCAGCTTAGAGGAAAATGAAATATGCTCTTTTGGTGGGTGTTCAAGGAATATTTACTGCCTAAGCAATTCCTACAAAAATTTTCTTAAAGAAATAGGAAGACAGATGTTCTGAACCCTTGTAAACCTACCCACTGAATTAAAGAATGCATAGACACAGCTTGGTAGCTAACATAATAATTACTGATTGTAATGGCTGAGGCGTATTTCTTTTTCATTTTTATAGTAGCTTTGTGCCTGCAGTCCAGAGACTCCAGAGAACTGGATAGGTAAATGTTAAGTTTAAGGACATATCCTTTATATAGGAGAGAGACATGTGATACATGCTTAACCACTTTTTAAATGAAAATGATAATTGTAATTCATTTGAAAGGAAGTGATCTTAATTTATGACCTTTAAAAGAAACTGTCTTTATTATACTGCAGAGTATTCTAAGTGTGTATCAGAGCTAATATTTTATGCATACATTTTTCAGTTGAAAGCATTTGCCATAACTCAGCTTTAACAAACTCTGAGCTATACCTCAGAGCATGACACATATCTGTTGTCCAGCTATAAATCTGCAGTTGTTATTATACTTTTATGAATCTGATTCATGCAGAAAGCATTATCCCTGCAACTTTAATTAAGAAGCCAGGAATTTCCCCATTTGAATTCCTAACATTCTGTACACTTTATTGCATCTTTCCCTGTGAGCCCCAAACGAGATATTTGGATTACAGGTCCTTAGAAGAATAAAATTGGTAAGCTCTAAATCAGGAATGGGTAAGTGGATTTGATCCAGCTTTAGAGCTGACTTTGATGGTTCAAATTGCATCGAGTCTCTTAGGATTGGATCCGTCATTAATATCTAACTTTTCAAAGCTGTAATTTTAGGTATTTGTTGGTATCAGGATATTAAGATGCAGAATTTGTTGTTCAGTTTCATATTTCTGGAAAGCACTCCAGTCTCTTACCGATATTCCATTACAGCCAAGATTTTGTTTGACTCAGGACTAATAAAACAAAATCAGGTATGAGGCATAAAGAATACTATGTATAGCATGTTATGTTAGATGCTGTTATTTTTAATACGATGAGGTAGTGGATATATATGGATTTGTGGAAGTGATTTATACAAATAATGGAAATTGTACATTTTTATACTATTATATGTTTAGATTGGTTTCATCTTTAAACATCTTGCATCTCTCCCCTCAGTCTTGATTTTGTGTTCCAATGCTACAAATGCAAATACCATAATAGTAACAGTACTAACTCTTAAATATCAGCCCTGGCCTAAGGGGTTTGTACAGGTTAGCCCTTTGAATGTTCATGGCAAACTAGTGAGGTGTTTATTCTGATTATCCCCATTTTACCCATAAGAGAACAAGACAATGACAGAATTAAATGTCTTTCCCAAGATCACAGAGTCAGTAAATGGCAGAGCTACAAATATGTGCTCAGGCATATCTGTCCCTAGGATTCACGACTGTATGCACCATGCTATGCTGATGAACTAATGTAACTGTCAGTGCATGTATATTGAGTGCCTCTGAATAGCACTGATCTGTCTTATCAGGAAGGAGAAAATGTTTGAACTGTGTCCTTGACCCAGGGGCATTTGCAATCTGGTCACAGCACACAAAATACACACAGGAAAAATTTAGGAAGGAGTAACTGCCCCCTTAGCAACTGTGAATGGGTGACGGCTTTGTGTCAGCTTCCCTGCTATCAACTAAAGCCATGTTTGTATCTCTGTTTCACAAGAGAGGAAACTGGAGGAAAATAGCATAGGTCCCATAGCTGGTAAGTAGCAGAGTTGGGATTCGAACCTGGGGACTCATTCTACCCTCACTCTGAACCACTGTCTGATCCTGGATATGTGAACGCATCTGAAGATGTACACAGCACATAGCAGAACAGTGGTGTAAGAGCTTAGCAAGGGTAAGAGAATGGAGAATCCTGTTAGCTGATTACTTAGCTAATTAGCTGATTCAATGTTTCTTGGTTATTTTTACTATCTCCAGCTATACTGGAGTGATTGTGGCCTTCTGAACTTTGTGTGCACACCAGTGTTTTCAGACCTCCACACAGGGCCTGCCAAGAATGTCCTCATGCTCTGCCTCCCCCAGCACCATGCCACCCGCCAACTTTGCCACCTCCACTTCCCCTACCCTTGTGTGTCTAGTTTCCACTCCCATTCAGGGCTCTGCTTGAATCCCCAAACCCCTGGAATGCCTTGCTCCCCTCCAATGTAGGCCAAGATTTACCTGTGTCATCCCACCTGTCACATCCCATGGCACACTGTGCCATGATTCCAGCTTTCCTTGTCCACCCCCCCCAAACCTCTTTCCTTTCCAACAACTCCTTAGCCTGCTCCAACGGTAATCTGAGCTTCCTGAACACTGGAACTGAGTTTTACTTCCCCTGTTGAACTGCAAGCTTCCAACACCATGTCTGACACCAAACAAAGGGTTTTAAATATTTTTTGAATGAATGGTAGATCTGAGTTGGATGCTGTATCTACAGAGCACATTATGTACTAAGTGTGGGCTAAACATTAATTTCCTAATATCCTTGAACTCAGACACTAATCCCTTAATATCATTTTCATTTTACAGACAAGGAAACTGAGGCTCAAGGACATTACCTAACATCTGCAAGGCCACAAATTGAGAAAACTGGAAATCAGGTCTATCCTGTGCTACATAAGAATAAGTAGTTGCAATACAGGTAATAAAAGGCACCATGTAGTTCTAATAAGGTGGGTGGATGAAATAAAGTGGGCAGAAATCATTTTCTCATGGTTACATCAGGAGATCAGCAGGATCTTTTTTTTTTTTTTCGTACCAGGGATCGAACTCAGGTCCTTGCACTTTCAAGGCAGGTGGCAGAACCACTGAGCTAAATCCCCAGCCCTAGCAGGATCTTTACAGGGAGGTGACTTTGAAGGATGAATCTGAGTTGGTTTGGGTGAGAACGAAGAGGAATGAGCAGGTACAAAGGTGACCAGCTGGGAGATATCCTGCTCTCTTCCTCCAAGGAGTGGCAAGCAGTCTTCTACAACTCGAATACAGGGTGCAAGGGAGAGGCGGACAAGGGAGCTGCAATGGAGTAGAAGGGGTGAAGTAATCCAGGGCAAGGAAGGGACCAGCAGGATTGGAGGAATGATGAAAAGATGTCCCTACTGTAATTCTAACAAGGGCAGTATGTGTGTGCCTGGAAACAGTGGTGTTGTCCAGCCTTGGAAGGGATGCTAAGTTTACCTTGAAGTCAGTGGGAAATCAGTTGGCAAATAAAGGGAAATAATTTCCTCTCCAAGTCACGTGAAAAGCAAGGGTCCAGGGCTTTTCGTTTTGCTAACAACTCTTCAAGCGACGTGCCACCGACAGCTGAGACCTGAATGTTTGGGACAGTTGTGACATCCACTGGACACCTCTTCTTTTTTCTCATTCTCTTTCTGTATACTAATTTCTTTGTCCATTGTTATCATATTTAATTTTGTTATTTATGTACTATACAATCTCTCTCTCTCTCTCTCTCTCTCTCTCTCTCTGTCTCTCTCTCTCCTTATTTTGTTTAATCCTTACACTGACAAGAATTTTATTAGAGAATAGAAGATTGAAGTGACAGGTCCAGCCCATAGCTAGTAAATAACAGCCCATGTTCAACTCATTGCATATGACAGCAAAGTCTGATTTTAACCAATATTATAGAGAGTAAAAAAAAAATAGCTACCAAACACTAAGGCCTCCCTAAAGTCAAACAGCAGACAACACGTAGCAAATGAGACAAGATATTTTCTCTGTTTAATCTTTTAGTCCATTAATTATGAAAGCATAAAGATTTGTCTAAAATTCACTTGATGTATTTTCTGCAGCAGTTTCTTTCCTCTGTTTTTCTTGACCTCATTTTCTAATTCCATGTCAAGAAAGCCTGGGATATTTTGATTATTCACCCAGATATTAGAAATTCTTTTTGACAATCTTGTATTTCTCCTGCAAGTCCACGGTGAAAGTCTAAAAGAACAAGTTCATGAAAGAGCTTGCAAAATAAATGCACAGTGCTTGTTGCATTCAGTCCCCTTTTAATGAGAAATGGACCAGCTATTACCCTATTATGCCTATTCCTGCAAGCCATCTTAAGCTGCTTGGGGTAATGCATCTCTACATTACATCAGCTTCTTTGTCCACGGATGCTATTTTTTTTAGAGTTTTATGAACAGCAAATGGCTCCTTAGGAGAACATTGTAATCACTCAATCTGGATTTTCCAGCAGTCTTGGTATAAGGGCTGATAAGATACCCATAGGGCAATGCCAATTTGAACAGGATGATTACCTCCAGATTTCACAGCTTTGGGACATCGTGAGTGCCTGGATCAAGGTCTGGTGTGTTCCAGTTGATGTGCTAGGATGTACAAACTCTCAAACTTACATTAGGAGGAAGGCTGGGAATGAAAGGGCACATTACTCATTCATTTAATGGGTCAACACATAGAGAATGTCACTCTGTATCTGACATGCTATAGATGTGGAGGATACAAAGTCCTCACCCTTGAGGCATGTACCTCTTCTGAGAGAAGAAAGGCAGTGAGCAAATAAATACATTCTATCAGGAATAAGAAAGTGGGGTAAGGGGATAAGGCTGGACACAGATGAGACTTACCATTATAGATAGATAGATAGATAGATAGATAGATAGATAGATAGATAGACAGACAGACAGACAGACAGAGATTGAGTGCGACAGGGGCCCTTTAAGGTTGTATTTCAGCAGAGACTCTGAGGAAATGATGGAACCTGACAGGTGTCTTTCGGGGCAAGAGTGTTTCCGCAATCATGGCAAAACCTCTGAAGGAGGAGTGTGTGGAGGATCAGCCTGGATGCCCTGGGGCTGGAGCACAGTGCATGAGGGGGGATGATAGGAGACCACCATTAGGAAGATGCAGATGAGAGACAGGGAATGTCAGTGGGAGGACCATAAGCTTCATGAAATCCTTGGGAAAGAATTAGATTTTTTATGTAGCGGAGACTGGAAGTCACTGCAAGGATGTACAAACTTCCAGAAGAGGAGTGACATGATCTGACTTACATTTTAAAAGAGATTCTTCTGTCTGCTCAGTGTAGAATAGATGGAGGGGGAAATGTAGAAGTGGAGAAGCCATAGGTAGGAGGCTCTGTCCCTCCAGGCAAGACATGCTGCTGCTTGGACCAGGGTGGAGGAGGTAGAGATGGTGAGTGGTGGCCAAACTGGATATTTAAAGAAAGAGCTGACAGAATTTGCTAATTGGTTGGATGTATGAAAGAGAAATCAAGATTTGTTAACCCTACACCTGTGTGCATGAAAAAAGTGGTCTCTAGTGAGATAGGAAAGATTTCAGGAGAAACAGAATGATGAACCGGAAGCATCATGTCCATTTTGTGTGTGCTGTGTGTGACGTGCCTGGTGGACATGTGTGTAGAGTTATAGAGGACACAGCTAGGTAGTGAGTCTGCAGGTCAGGGACAAGGTCTGGGCTGAAGATGTAAATCTGGGATTCATGAGTCCATAGGTGATCCATGGGTTTAGACACAACCATGGAGCTCAGAGTTGGTAGGGAGATAAGGTCCTGATTGGGCTGTTTTGAGGGATCAGTTACACCATCAACTTGTTGTCTAACATCCCACACAGTTTTTTTCCATCCTGACCTTTGGAGAGCCCCGTGTTTCTGTGCTTTTCCTAAAACAAATCCTGTTTCTGAGGTTGTAAGAGCCCTGGAAGAAGAGCAAAGGGTACAGCATATTTTGTTCAGTAACAGAGCAATTCTGAGCAGCCCTCCTGTGGTACGTGTTGGAAAATAAATCAGGATGGTCCAACCACATGGTGCATTTAAAATTCCTGTCCCTAGGGCCGGGATGTAGCTCAGTGGTTCCGCCCGCCTGCCTTGCAAGTGCACGGACCTGAGTTTGATCTCTGGTACAAAACAAACAAACAAACAAAAAATTCCCGTTCCTCCCAAATATCTGCCCATCTCACAGATGTGTTTAAGGATTCTTCTTGGTGGTCGTGGTAGCAGCTGATCAAGGTCCCAGAGCCACCTTATCTTTTAGTGTATGACTGCATCCTAAATACATATTTAGTAAAGCAGAAAAGGACAGCTGGATACATCTCACAATAGGAGTATACACTACTACCTCACACGAGAGGAGGCAAGTGAGGGAATCGCATGGCAAACCACCCACTGAAAGTAAATGGTGGCTATGTGCATATCCCCTTGTAACTGTTATACATGACAAAAAGATGTTGCAGTAATTGTAAAAGGGAGTATATGAACTATTTCTATGCCAAGCCCCCAAATATAATCTACTGTGATACAAATGAGGTTCAGAATGTTTGATTCAGTAGGACAAAATGGAGATCTCTCCACTGGGCTGGAGCAGGTCCATGCTGCACAAAGAGCTGCTAGAGGTGGAGAAGGTCCAGCCAGGCGAGTGTATAAAGTGCACGGTGTCAAACAATGGCAGATACCTTTGCAATTGTGATGGACAGCAGCTGTGTGAGGGAGGCTACTGCATGCACCTGGCCTGGGAGAGAAAGCACTGGGAACACAGAACTCGCAGAAGTAAAAGCAAGAGCTAAGCAATTCTTCATGGAATTAACTGCCCAAAGCTGGGCCGGGCCCAGGGCACACCATAGTGCACGGGAATTCGGGACCATCGGAACAGGGCCGCAAGGACTCATTGACTTTGCATTTACTTGGAAACTTAGGTTTAGAATTCTTGTTTTATTTCCTCTATCAGTAAGAGTTGCAGCAGGAAGTAGATGGTACTGTCAAATTGGATAATTTTAGAGAGTTTAAGAAAGGGATTATTATTACCAGGGTGTTGGCCACATGAAGAGAAACCTCAAGGATGCTATAGTATCCTGGTGCTTGAAACAGTGGGGAGCTCTTACCATCCCCACACCTTAAGTGATTCAGAAGGAGCTATAAACATCTGGGGACAGAGTGTGTGGAGAAGATAATCTTGTATGAACTCCAATTGTAGGCTGAGAGAGGCTGCTGGGCCATGGTGACCTAACATGGTCGGAGCTGGGGGAACATATTTGCGATTGCATCTCACCATCCCTCCAACCTCCTGCTGTCGCTTTCCATTGACAAACACAACAGGAAGCCAAGAACAAGGAAGCAGGTGAGTTATTCATGCACACCACCTCAACAGAGAGCAGGGTGGGATGGTGGAGAGCAGGATGCAGGAACAAAGAAACCTTTTCTGCCTGCCTCCTGATCAGAATGCACACAGGTGAAGGGATCAAAGTGGATTTATTTGGTCTATCTTTTCATATCAGAGTCCCATAACTGCTACATTTCTTTAATGCATTTTGAAGGTTAATTCCCTAATAACAAATAGTCATAGTGTGTTGAAATTTTTGCATGTTAAAGGCATTAGTTTTTTTTAGTTTAAAAGTAACTTTATTATCAAACACACACACATACAGAAATTAAAACCATTCAAAGAAAACTATGCAAGGGAAAAAAAACTACAATAATAGTCAAATACAGTAGAACTCAACAAAACAAAACTGAAAAGCACTTAAACATTTTTCCATATAACTTAAAAAAGCATCTCAAACACCAACAAGACACCAGAGGATGTGATTTATTTCAGAAAGATCCCCAAAACCAACATTGAACAAATAGTGGTCTGGAAAAAAACTCCAGTTAGTTAGCAGACTCCACATAAGCCAAGCTTCTCCCTAATTTAAATTTCGATACAGTCATATGACAAGCGATGGAAACACAATCTGAGAAATATGTTATTAGGCAATTTCATCTGTATGTATCCTTCACTACACTTTCAGTTTCTCACACTAGAGAAACTCTTCAGTATTTACACATGTGTGTCCTATTTATTTCATTTAAAAAGGTGGCCTCAATATGCATCCATTTAGCTATAAATGACTCTAGTTTCTCGTTCTTTATGGCTGAGTAGTACTCCATTTTATAAAAAAGCCACATCTTCTTTATCCAGTCTCCAGTAGAAGGGCACTTGGGTTGTTTCCAAGCTTTAGCTATTAAGCATCAGTTTTTTTAAACATTTAAAGAACATACAAGCTTAAGACTGTTTTAGTGTTTGTGCATATGCATTATTTTTTACATATCCGAGAACTTCTTCCTCTGCTAAGCACAAGGACAGAGCCGAGTCTCAGCCTCAGAGAAACTGGCTCTCTCGCCATGTTTCTGAGATGAACAGATGCAGGAGGGAACCAAGCAGGAATCATTGTTAGGTCAGAGAGCAACGACAGGGCCTTGATCAAAACACCACACATCAGAATTGGAACAAAGACCCAAGGGAGGCTAGGTTTGGGACTGTTTAAATGCTCCACAGTGAGGAAACAATTAGTTGTGGAACTCGGAGGGTACAGCTGGGTTTTCACCAGGATGCCAAGTTACCCCAGGCAGAGGTGAGAGAACGCAGACATAGGGAGCAAGGCAAGGAGCTGCAGAGGCATCGACCGACCACAATTTTCACAAGGACTGCTACTTCTAGCTCTTTGCTGTCCTGTATTATGGTGCTTTCTTGGAAAGAAAGGAACCAGCTTCTTCTTAATGATATTATTTCTTACTAGTATATTTGACCAGGGGCCGGGCTCAGTGGTTCCGGCGCCTGCCTCGCAAGCTGAAGGTCCCGAGTTCAATCTCCGGTACCAAAAAAAGAAAAAGAGGTATATTTGACCAATGCCAAAATTGTACCTTTTAGAGAAATTCATTGAGTCACACACTGAGTGAGGCAGATAGAAATGAGAAATTTCACTTAAATGTTGAGTCATCTCCTACCGTGATTTCTAGAAGTTTCAAATGATCTTGAACATGTGGAGTCTGAATCCCCCTCTCATACCTTCTGTGGTGCCTTTAACTTTCAGTTATAGATGGCATTTGAATGACAGCAACTGTGATTTAAAAACAATATACATAGATTATAAGTAGACAGCAAGGATAACAGATGGTAGGTGCATCACAATCCTTGTGGGAGGTTTTTAAAGTAAGTTCTATTGCATAATATGAACAGGCAACAGCAAAATAAAATCATTTTCCCTGACATTGTATCACATGATTATTGCTTTGATTTTGTCCATAGTACGATAGCTTGTCAAAATGCTTAATTTTGCCAGAATTAATTCTAGGTGCTTTTTCTGCCCCCAAAATTAACTAGCTATTGGAATTATAACCTTAAATAATTATCAACAATAATTTAAGCTAAAATATTATAAAATTTAAAATATTCCTTGCTCTTGTTTCCCAGAAAATTTGTCCGAAATGCTATAGTTTACTAATTCATGTGAGCTTTCAGGTAGTGGAATGCATAGGCTGTTGCTGCAATTAATGAGAAATCCAAGAACAATTTTAGGTAACTACAATTATACTTGAACATTAAAAAACTAATATCTCGACAATGGATGTCAAGGGCAGGTTTGATGAAAAAAATTATGTGTCGCAGTTTTTACCTTTATTTTGTAAATGTACACAACATTGTCAAAATACATTTACTCCTAATATTTCACTAATGTTTATTTACCATTAACTCTGCACTTTTTAAAAAGAAAATGTATTAGTATACAAAAATAAAAAAATTTATAACTACAAAATCTTGAGATAACAGTGTGTATGTACTATATGATAGTCTACTTTTAACCTGAACTATCAAAAATGACAATGTATAGAAATGACCATATCTATGCATACTTTTATCTTTTCAATATTTATTTTTTATTAGTGCATGTTTGCAGTACATAATGCTAACATTCCTCATGAAAGTTGGTAGGGGCTGGGGATTTAGCTCAGTGGTTCTGCTACCTGCCTCGCAAGCGCAAGTTCCTGAGTTCGATCCCCGGTACCAAAAATAACCAAAAAACACAAAACGAAAAAACCTCATGAGAGTTGGTACCTGTACATAACACATCTTCATTCTTTTTAAATCTCCTTTCTCCTTCTCCCTCCCTCCCTCCCTCTGTCTCTCGGTCCCCTTCCCATTTGAAGAAGATCTAGCTCCTTGTTTCCTAGTGTCTGTCTTCTATTTTTCTCTTTATTTATACTTTGAGTTTCTCATATAAGAGGCACCATGTGATATTAAGCTTGTGTGTCTGATTTATTTCACTTAACATTATGATCTCAAGGTGCATATGAATATTTTTAATAAGGAATGTCTTTCTTGATAACTATTTGTGTTTCCCAGTGACTACACCTTTTTAAATGTTTCATTTTAGAGTGATTCTGATTTCTGTTATTTTAAGTGGTTTGTTTAAACCTCCTGCCTTTTTGATAAGCCCCAATTTTTGATAAGCCCCAAATAAATGTAATTTTTTTCCAGAAAATTCTAGAATCTGAGAGGTAGAAACAGGCTTTAAATGTAATCTGACTCTGAATTCAGATGCCAGATGTCTCCAATATTCCTGCTTACGGGTTTTAAGCTCAGGGTTAGTTAATTTTATTGATAAAAGGATCACTTCATTTTGGAGATTCTTCCATGTTGAAATAATTTTGACTACTTCAACATATTTTCATGTTTTTCTAAAAATCTGTATTATGTGGTCCCTAGGCCTCAGAAACATCAGAGAAATAATACTTCCTCTTCTACAAAACAGCACCTAACCACCAAATTAAACACAGCCCTAGATTCCTCCTGTCCTCTCAGCCTCTTTCTGTTTCCCCTTCTTCAGCGTAAATGCTACTCATTCCCTTAAAGCCTCTTTATGTTTCATTTTAGAACACCTGACAAACTATTAGAAACAGCACACATTATTCCACTGTCATTGAAACTAGAGGTTTTAAAAGGAGAGTCATTTAAATTAGATACATTTGTCATAAGAAATATTATATTTATTTTTCCTAGAAAGACAAAATTCAGTGAATTGCTATATTGATCCAGTTTACAATATTCATCCTTCAGTGATGTTTTCCTGAGCTACTGAAGCCCATAATTAACTCAAGAAATTGGACTCAAGTGAGTCTAAAAAGAGTTATGTACCACTCTCCTTTGGGTGTGGAATAACCCTGAAATATTTAGCTCCCTAACAATCCCAACACACTACTAATATAATATATAACTTCACAAGTTATCTACTTTCAAGATCTAGCTCTTTGAATACATTGCATTTAAAGACAAAAAGCTCTAGATCTGCATAATACAGCATTATCATTTCTATTCCTAATTCCTTAATCAAAATAGTCATTAGCAATGCAAATAAAGGAAACTGAATCAAGAAGGAAACAAAGATTAGTGACTAGACTAAGATCAGATAGCTGGTTAGAGAAAGTAAGGCTGAAATTGGACTCTTTCATAATTCAAATAAACAATGCAATTACCTTGTTATAAGCATTTTCAATTTTAATGGCAAAACACTATTTTTGTTTATTTTGATGAGAATTTTACATGAAATGCATGGGTAAATTAAACCAATGGATTTAATTTAATCCATTAAATTATTATTCATTTTAATAAAATAACCTATGACATTTATCAAATTGCCTCAAATTAGGAACACTGCTGTTAGGAGTTTCATTTGTGATGTTGGTTTTTTGTGGATTCAGTGAAAGCTATTTATTTTTTTGGCCCCAAGATTTTAACAAATTGACTATGTGACTAGAATCCCTAAAGATGAAGTATTTTTATTTTTATTTTGACTGTTTAATTGAAGTTGTACTTTACTATAGAAAATGGGTTCCAGGCTCCCCCACCACCATCCCAAGCTCCTAGGGCAGAGAAGGTGAGCCGGTCCCAGAACCCAGAAAGAAGCTCCCCTGCTGCCATCCCAAGCTCCTAGAGCAGAGAAGCTAAGCCTGTCCCAGCACCCGGAAGGAAGCTCCCCCACCACCATCCCAAGCTCCTAGGGCAGAGAAGGTGAGCCAAGTGGGTGCAAGAAGTACCACCCCCCCAACCCCCCACCCCCCTGCCGTGGAAATGAGAAGACACGTAAACAAGCCTCAAAACACAGACTTCTGGATCACCTACAGCAACCTCAAAGGGAAACGAGGTGGAACAATCTGATACTCAACCACCTGGACTCTCTGAACTGGCAACAAAAGAGGATCTGGGAAAAATGAAATCA